GTGTGTGTGTGTGTGTGTGTGTGTGTGTGTGTGTGTGTGTGTGTGTGAGAGAGTAAGAGAGAGTAAGAGAGCGAGAATGACAAAGGGATTACAGGCAGGCACACTTGAACATGTGCACACACTTCCAGAAATTAAAATGACCTTCCTTTTTATTATGAAGTGTAGTCGATGTCCACAACTCTCTCTGTTCTAATACAAGTATATTGATTATTTGATCGTCATGGTCCTTATGTCAACACATGACCTTATGCAGCGCAAATCAAAATGTGTGATTTATGTGTTTAATCCTGATCATAGACATGCCACTACACAGAGAGCATTAAAAAAGTGAATGGAACCGTAATTGTTTTTAGTTAAGTTACATAGTGTAGTTGTCATGTGGTGCATTGTGGTACTCTATGTGTAGTGTACGTGTAATACTGTACTGTATAGTACAGTATTACACGGCCACAGCATGCATTTACTGCTCCTTTTTTCCCCCAATTATTATTTTGAGGACCTTATTGATTGAGCAAAGTTTGATTTGATTTATTTGCATATCTAAAATATATATAACAGGTCATACACAAATACGTATTCATGTCCTCTTTTTAGTTGTTGTTTTTAAAGGTTCAACTTCAGTTTGTATGACAACTGAAGAAAGTGGAATTCCTGTCCGATACCTGTCTTGAGTTTTGAAATCTTTAGTTAGTTGGATTCAGGATTTCTCCAGGCAAAATTTCTAACATGGGGCCGTCTTGAGCTTAAATCGAACCCAGGATGTCACAGGTACATGCATGCACCTTAGCCGTCCTGCTTTCCCTTTAAAGTCGGGGGTCGATGATTCCCCAGTTGAAATTTCCAAGCGTTCTACATATACGGCGCCAATTGTGAGCAGAAAAACATGGCTGACCGTGACAGACTGATGTTTCTTTGGCAAGTGTACACACAAATGAAGACTCAGCAGTGCAGCTCCTTGCATAAAGAGATGAAAAAATATACTTTATGTTGCCTTTTAGTTGATGGTTTACCATTTACAATGTACGCTTCCATTGTTGTGTGATGTCAGACATATTACTGGGAACTCCGACTTCGAGTGGCCCATTATACCTTTTCTAGTAAGAGAACTGAGGACACATTATAGTGTGCAGACCTTCACTGCTACTGAACCACACCTGCAGAGTGAGGATGTGATTTTTAAAGTCCAGGAGGCAGCTGTCTCTGTAGGGAAATCAGTTCTATCATTGCATACGGCTTGTTCACTCATACAGTACTGCTAACAAGCTAAGCCATCTTTAATAACTCTTGCTGGGCACTCATGTGCATCAGCCTGCATGTCTCAGGATTTGTCCTGATCAGACACCGCTGTGTCATTTCAACTGTGCAGCAACCAAAGCACCAATTTAGGGGATTTACTGTATTCACGATTCAATATTATCATATTCTGGATTCAACTGAATATTTGGTCGTTGTGAGATAGTCAGGCTAAATTGTGTACACACGTACTATCAAAACTGTCACTATTGGGTGCAGATGTACATTTTTATTGCAATTTCACGGTCATGTTTTTCCACCGTTTCCCAAACTCTTGCGTTCTCGAGATCTCGCCAAGTCGTTTTGTCTACCATGAGCCTGGTGTGGCCTCTATGCCTCACAAAGCCACATGTCTTTCATGTGCCAAACAGAGAGCAGGCCGAGACATGAGGGCTTATTTAGAGCGGCCTGTCTCAGCTTTCTGTGGGTTAAAGCCACTTGAGAGGCCTGTGTGAGTACAACAGAGGATGGAGGGGGGTGAGGTAGCTGCCAGGGGCCCCACAGACCAAAAAAAAACATCCATGGTGCATCCTGCTGGGAGCTGAGAAGAAGAAACTGCAGCTCCACCAGCTGCAGAGGTGATGGAGAGGAGAGACTATAGGGTGAAGGCAAATGTTTGCGGGTTCCATATGATTATGACAGTTTAAAGAACAGGGATCTGTTTCATAAGCAACCCTTTTCTTTATGTGTCTCTGTTTACATTTCTTCCCTCTGTTGTCATGTACCTCCCTAGATAACAGGACAGACACTGACATCTAATAGCCACTGCACGGACGTAACATCACATCATATGTCGACATTATCATAATTTCTGCTTGTGTTTTTCAACTAATCTCGGCCAAAGTGGTTTGCCAAACTGGCCTCTGTTTTGGGGGACACTATTGGATGCTCTCTTATTTTTAATTCTAGCACCCTTTGGCCACCAGGGGTGCTGAAGGGGTGATGAAGTTAGCTGTTAGCAAGCTACTGTAGTTAGCTAATGCACTTGCATGCATAGTACCGCATAGCTTTCTGATTTAGCTTGCTGCACAGGTGTCAGGATCCCAAAGTGTTGCCATTCTTCTTGATGATTTGTTATTGTGTTTATCCTCAGTTTTCAGTTCGGCAGCTTCTCCAAACTTAGTTTTGAGTTTTTTACTCTGTTGGTGGTGTGTCCCACCACACAGTAGCTTTTAGGCTTTTTGTTGTTGTTTGCAAGCAGACGAAGCCCCGTCTGACTCAATTGCTCTCATGTGTTTATGCCTCAGTCCAGTTTGTGGTCAAGCGCTGGAAGTGTCAGTGTTAAAGCACCGGGCTGGAGTCATTGTTCCCTGTATAAAGCATCACAGCAGCTGGCAGAGCAGACTGCAGTCCTGTGTTGTCATATCATACTGACCAGGGACACTGATTTCCCAGAAGCCATCTGTCCGTGTCTGCTGGTGTTCATCGAGAGCTGTGCAGACGATGATCCCCTTCACCCAGTGTTGACTTATGTAAGCTGGGGAGGAGGAGGTGGTTGTTCCTTGGGCGACTCTATACATGTAAGATGTGACAGAAAAAGTAACACGCACTATGATAGGTGGGAGACGTGCAGCTATCCAACACTCCTTACCCTCCCTGCATCCTGCTGTTAGATTATTACATGAGTGTGTCCATCAGTCCATCCATCATTTTCCCACCAGCCATCTGCTAGCCGGCCCAGACTGGGTCAGAGGCGACGTGTCGCCACACGTCTCCCTCAGCTTGCAGCAGCAGCACGGGGAGCTGCTACGATATCGATGAGACTCAGCGTGGTCAGGCTGCAGGAGGGGTCGCCAACAAGAATATGAGTATGGTTGTTACAGAAGCCACCTCTCAACTTGCAAAGTACAACAATTGTTGTGAAAAAAGCATTAAAGATTAAGTAAGCACTCTTCCTTAACCACATACCAATATTCAGCATGCTAGAGATTAGCATTAGTGTGTCTTTAAAAAGGGGGCTGCTAACAGCTGGCTGATTGAGACTACAAAACGCTGACTAGTCCACCTTTACAGAATCGTTGTGTATACTGGCGCTCATGCGACTGTGGTGTAGTTCGTTAAACTCAGCTTTTTCACTTCTGTTGATTGCAGTCATGCTTGAAAAACCTTAAAAGTGATGTTAATTTGTGAAGATTATCTTGCTGAACAAAATGTGTAGGTACCGTAAACTTGTCTTTGCCGCAGAGCTTTTTCTCTGCAACAATCCAAAATCAAATGGAAACATCTTGTTGGCTTTTTGTCCAGGGAACCAGTGCGATGCTGACTTCCAGAAAATACGTCATCCCTGCAGCACTGTGTTTAAAAGCAGTAATGTCTGGCTGAATGATAAAGTAGGTAGAGGAAGTTCAGCCCAAACTCTTGTTGTTTAGTTACTCTTTAACAAAAATGGAAAACGTCTGCGCAAAGCTAAAGTCTTATAATGGCAGAGAAAAACCTGCTCATTTTGACATTTTGTTGGCTAAAAAGAGTCTTATGTAAACAAACACGCATGTAAACATAACGGGCAACATCAAGGTCAGCTTGTACTGTAAAGTAAGTCGATGACGTTAATCACAGTGAGAGGCCTAATGTCAGCACTTTGCTGGTTGGAGTTCACCAGTGGTCATAGTGGCTGGATTCAGACAGTAGTACAACCCTTTGAGAGAGATCTGAGGCCTCCAATGGGAACTTATGTGTCATGTTTGTCAGTGCG